CGCAAATGTGTGTGATCTTTGGTCACTATTACATGTTGAGGTGACTCCCTTCTCTGACTCCACAGCTGTGCAGTACTCTGCTAAGGAGAAGGATGACTTACTGAGCCCTGATGGACTTGCAAAGAAACTGGTGGAGGTAAAACAGCTTCACAAAGAGGTGGAGGACTTAAGGACGGCAATATCTGACAGATACGCTCAGGACATGGGAGACAACTGCATCACTCAGTAAAGAATTACTCCCAAAGTAAGACAGAAAACCAGGACTTGAAACTCTCAGGAGTCTAGAGCTCCTACAACTCAAAACCTATTCAGCACTTTACCATCCCTTTGCTCGGGTACAAGATGTGTGACTTATCCAATCCATGAGAATCCAGGGGGTTTGTTTGCCAGAAGTGTTCAGCTGCTGAACTGGAATCGTTCAGGTCTTTGGTGTCAGGCTTTGCAGTAGCTTTGATCTTGTGGAATGTGTTTATGCTGTGTTTGCTGGAGCTGGTGTGGTCTCTGATGCTGGGAGATGAATTCTGAATTGCCTTCCAGGCATGTCAAATGCTGAACATGCAAATGTGACAGTTAAAATGATCACTAAAAGGAAATGTATGCCCTGATTTTCCTGATAAATTCTCTGTGAAGATCCTGTGTGACTAGGAAGACTAGAGGATTATTGGGGTGTTCAGGGACTATTTGTGGAGCAGGACCCGTTTTCCTCAGGTAAACACATCTGGAGTCTTTCAGTAGTCAAGACGAGTTGGGGAATAAAGCAACACTAAAGGAAGACTCTGAAAATGCTCCCCCTGGGCACTGATACCCCAGAAGCCTTAAGCCTTTTATCTCCCCCCCAATAGCACTCTGTGGATATGATTCAGGCTGCAGAGGAAGCAGATTGATGCTGAAGTGCCTTAATGAGAAACCTCCTGTCCCCATGCTAATGCATCTGCTGGCAAGGGGAGAAACTGCTGTTTCTCGTAGCAGCCTCTAGAACCATCCAGAGGCTCTGCACTCTGGGTGACCTGCCCAGGGCAGTTGGGATGTGCACCTCTGCTTGGCCCTCAGCTTGCTAGGGAGAAAGCCATTCTGGTCCTACCATGGCAGGATGGCACAGCTGGATCTGAAAGCTCTTCCTGCTGCCTGCAAGGCAGTGACCACTTGGGTTTTGTTGTAGCCATGCCCCTTGATGTCTGGGAACTCCCTGCTCTTCTGCTAAATAATGGGATTTCTAAATAAATCTGTATGGGATGTGATCTGCTTTATCACAACCCTCATTAACCTAGTGACAACTCCACAGCACTTGCTTGTGCCAATGCTGTGGTGCTGTGGGTGGAACTTACTTGGTTTTCAGCTTGAGTTAAGAGCAGTATAGTCAGTCAGCTGTACTGCAGGAGAGAAAATACTGCTGAAACTTCTGTTGGTTGTTTCTTGGTTCATGTTGGGGCTGCAGGCCCTAGGTTTGGGAGAAATGCTTTTGGTGTTCCTCTTTCTTTAAGACCAAATCTGTTTTGTTCTTAGTTCTTTGTTTGGCCACCATGGGTGATGGTGGCAGGGAGGTGGTTAGTTTGCCGTCCTGAGCTACCCCCTGCATGGTACAGGGAGAGAGCATGGTGGTGTCTGCCCTGTTCTGTCTGCATCAGGTGTATTACGTTTCAGACTGTTTCTGTTCCCAGGATGCTGCTGCCATGTACTGAGCTAAATGTGGGCCAAGACTGTTTCCTAAGGTCGTTTGTCCTAGCTGCTGGGAGCTCTCTAGGCACTGGGGTGCAGAGCAGCACCAGCTGTGAGTCGCTCTCTCCCTAGGGTGCTGTTTGGCCCCATCCCCTTTCCCCAGTGTAGGGTGCAAGATCTAATTCCCAGGTGTTGTGTGGGGACACAATTGCCCTCTGTGCAATGAGGTCGTGGCTGAAACCAGCTCAGTTGATGCTCGGAGCCTTCTGCCTGGCAGTGTCCCAGCAGCTGGGGGACCCAGGGTTGCGTGTTCCTCTCTCCTCCTCCTGCAGACTGGACCCGTGTGGCAGGTGGTGACCGTCTGCTGTACACGGCTGCTGCTCTCTGTGCAGGGGAAACTCGGGGCCTCTTCTTTATAGAGCACCCCAGAGAGGGGCAGCAGGACCGCATTCTCACCCCGTCTGCCTGTTTGCCTGCGTCTCCCCCATCGCGTCGGGCGCTGTGTATTTCTACCGGCCTTTGTCTCGCCCGCTTGTTTGTACTGAGTGTTTTGAGTATAAAATAAAGCTGCTCTGCTCCACCCGTGCGAACCAGTCCTGCTCCGGGGGCGGTGCGGCGGTGGCTCCCCGGGGCCGGGCCCCGCCGATGCCGCATGCCCGGGCCCGTCGGCCCCATTGGTCCCCGCAGTCACATGCAGGGCGGCGGCGGGGCCGCCCGTTCCCTTCCTCCCTCCCTCCGCCAGGCTGAGCGCAGGGAGCGGCCGCGATCGCAGCATGAGCACCCTCAAGGTTTACAGCACCTCGGTGACCGGCTCCCGGGAGGTGAGCGGCGGCCCGGGCTCCGCTGGGGCAGGGCTGCGCGTCCGGGGCCCCTCTTCCCTGGGGTGGGCGTCTCTGAGCCATCCCTGGAGTCCCCTCCCCTGCTCTCGCTGCACCGGATCCATCCCTCCGCGCTGGGTGTCCCCCTTCACCCCACGCAGGGCCGAGCCCCGCGGCCGGGTGCGGTCTGGATCCAGGAGCGCTTGCAGAGTGCGGCTGGCACGCTGGGGTGCGTGCCCGCCCTTCGGGCTCCTCTCCAGCTCCTCATAACCTGCCTTTCCCGCCCGGCTTCCAGATCAAATCCCAACAGAGCGAAGTAACCCGAATCCTCGATGGGAAAAACATCAAGTACGAGCTGGTGGATATCTCCCAGGACAACGCTCTGCGGGAGGAGATGAGGGCAAAGGCCGGTAACCCCAAAGCCATCCCGCCCCAGATCGTCAACGGAGACCACTACTGTGGGGTGAGGCTTGTGCTCAGCACCGTGGAGGTTGGGTGGTGGTGGGCACAGTCCAGTCCCCTCCTTTTTGCTACAGATGGTGTTAAGATGCCTTTCAGAAAGCATTTCTTGTGAGGCACAAGGACAAGGTGCTGCCAGGGTCAACGGAGCACGGTGCCTTGTGAAAAAGGGGTCCTGGGCAGGGGGACTTGGGGTGCGGGTGGGCAGCGGGGCTGTGCTGTGTGGGGCTGTCCTCATGTCACCCTGTCATTCTCCACACAACTGATGGCATCAGTGCCATGAGCTGGTTTGCACTGTGTGCTCAGGGGATGGGGGTGAGCAGCCCCCTTGCTCTTGCCTGGTGAGTGACTTGTGACTTTTCCCTGCAGGATTATGAGCTCTTTGTGGAAGCAGTAGAGCAAAACACCCTGCAGGAGTTCCTGAAGTTGGCCTGAGCCCCGGGCTCCCCTTTCGTCCTGGACTCTACCTGCATCCCTGAGCACCCTCATCTCCAACCACCTTCACTTCCAGGTTGTCAGCGCTGTCCTGGCACCACGACCTATATCCCAGCACAGGGAAACCCATGACCAAAACTACTCATTGCAGCTGCCTGCGATTCCCTCCTGCCTAACCCTGGTATCATCTCAGAGGGATCCAAAGAAAGTCTGACGCTCGCTGCGCATGGCCTGTGAGCAAAGCTGGGCCTGGCTCACGGCAGCTTCCAGTGCCTCTGTACACAGCAAAGCCTCTGGGGCTGTGTGAAGTGCAGCCATCTGTCAGCCCTCGCCTCTGCAGGGAGAGCTTCTGCTTCAGGAGGGAAGGGCTTAGGGTTGATGTTACTTCCCACTTGTCCCAGTTGCTGTTAAATTGTAAACCCTGCTGCCTCACTTCCCTTTTTTATTTTACTTTTGTTTAATTCATCTCAACTGCACAGATTATGGCAACTAAGTCCTTTTTTTGGGGGGTTGTCTTAATTTAATGCAAAAATACTGCACAGAACTGGGGTCTGAGCATCCACCAGAGGGGCCCAGGGCTGGGGTGAAGGCTGGAGCTGCTCAGCAGGCTGCATGGGGGGATGGATGGACCTAGAGGTGGGACCTGTGCTGCTCTGGTGCCAGGGCTCCCTGGTGAGCGTTAATGGCTCAGGGCTGCTCCAGCACAGCTGATGCTCGGTTGTCTTATCTTTCCTCTTTAAGTTGGCTTTTGTTGCAACCCGGACCAAGTGCATTTTGTTTTCCTGCCAAAAAGGAAGTTTATAACCAGTGTTGTCTTTCAAGATGCTATTAAATGTTACTGTACCTTTCATGTCGGTACTGGTGGGTTTCTTTTAAATCTGGTTTTATTTTGACTACAGGTTAAACGTCGCCCTACGTAATGATTCTGAGTCATTTCCAGCTCAGAGAAGCCGAGTCAGTTGTACTCACTGATGCAGCCTGACACAAAGATCTTAACACCTTAGTTCTCTGCTGCTAATCAGAGGCTCACAGGACTTGTCTGAATATCCTACAGCACGGTAGTGACAGGTACCTCTCTCAAGTGTTCTTTTCTACATGGTGAGAGCAGAAGCCCAGAGGAGAACAGCTTCAGTCGGGCACAAAGATGACCTGGTTGATTACATACCAGTGTGTAGAGGGGCAGTGGAAAAGGCTGCCCTATAGGAGAGTCCTTGTATGCTCCTGTATCTGCTATAGATGAAAAAGGAAGGAAACTAACTTGGAGCTGTGGGGATTGAGTCATGGGGAACCTGTGGAGGCTGCTGCTTTGGAGGAGTGGAGCTTCCTGTACTTGAGTTGTGCAGGGTCTGGCTCTGGTTGGAGTGGTCTGGGAAGAGCCCTGTGTATCCTGCCCCCTCCCACAGGAGCTGTGCCCTTGAAATGTAATGGGACTGGAAACTGCATCTGAAATCAGTGGTTTTATGGGACTTTTGAGGGCTGGGTCTCTGCTGAGAGGGAACCAGTCAGGAGGTGCTGCCTCATGCAAGTGGGAGTGTTGTCAACTGGGAGTCAAGTGGGAGCTTGTCACAGCTGAAAAGGGAAGAATGTGCCTGGAAAAGGGCCTGCAGAGCACAGCCCCAGCCCACGGGAGAGGGAGGAAGATGCTTTATTCATGCTTCAGGGAAGCAGCAACGGGATTATGCTCTTCTCCAATGACACGGTGTCCTGTTGCAGCATCCAGCCCATGGCTGCAGCAGGGAGGGAGGGAGCCAGGCTGGCAGCTCAGTGTGGCTGTGAGCCGGGGCCCTGCCGGAGCTGGGGGCTGTCCAAGGGAAGGAGTTGTTCACGCACAGGAAACCCAGCAGCAGGATCTCCTGGCTGAGCCGAGCCTGGCTCAGACCCAGCCTTGCAACGGCTCAAAGCCTCTTGGTTCAGCTTCGCCAGGGACCATATAACTGAGCCTGTTTATCTCGTGGTGTAAGCACAGGTGAAATCGCTGGGGAGCAGCTGTGTGTGGAAAGCAAACTGACCCTGGCTGTTTGTCTGTCCTGCTGCGGTAGACAATCCCTGAGCTAAGCCACTGTCCAGGACCAGTGTAAAGCTGGTGGCCTTCCCTGGGCTGGCATCAGCCTGTGTAACCCTTCAGTAGAGATGAGGAAACTGGGCTTTGGTCTGAGCTGACTGAAATGCCCCTGCATTAGGAGCCCAGTGGTCTTGGGGAAGAGCATCCACCCACTGCCTCTGAGCACTTCTCTCTGTCCCAGGTAACAGCACAATGAAACTAAGTCTGGAAAGTCACCCCTCTGCTCTTCCCAGCCAGGGGAAGTTATAACACAGCTAAAGGTGCAAGGCAGCTCCTTCCTCTTGCAGAATTTGGGTGAGCAGCTCTTGCTAGGAGTTAAGCTGTTTGCAGCCCTCTTGCTGGCAGGGGTCTCTTCTCTGCAGCAGTAAGCAGGCGTTGGGGGTCAGGCCGCATTCCTGCAGGCTCTGTGAGTTGTCCGTGTACACCCTCTGGGGAAAGGTACTGATGATCTCATATGAGTCGGAGTCTCCACCCCTAGGAAAGAACAGCACAGCTTTTCCTACAGGCAGGATCCCCAAGGTTTTGAGGGATCCTCTGGCTGATCCAGCTGTGGTTATGAAAGGAGGAGAGACCATTTCATAAGCACAAGCTGAGCAGAAAAAAGGGCTTCCTGCCCAAAATGCAACAGCCAGGCAGAGTGGCCATTCCAAGCTGCACAGCTGCGGTAGGAAAGAGGGTTTTGCATCCCAACAGCAATGAGCTCATCCTGGGCTCAGGCTGCAGCCAGGCCTATGGCCGGCAACAGGAGTGGGAAGAGGGGAGAGCAAAGGGGTTCCCCAGCTATCTGGAATTGTCCCCAAAGAGGTGTGAGAGCCCTTAGGCAGCATTGAATCCATTGGGATATAGAGCTGGCTGAGCAAAGTGGGGTGTTTATCCAGCAGCAGATCCATCAGCCAAACTGAAGGCTGCAGCTCAGCTTCCAGGTTGCACCACCACATTGGGAATGGTGGGAATAGTTGGCTGGAAGCAGGCAAAAGCAGGGATGGACCTGGGTCAAGTGGCAACTCTGAGAGAACTGAAGAGGTTTATCTGTGCCTGTGTTAGCTTTTTGGCAAGGGTGGGTATTAAATACTTTGAGTGTGACCCTGGCAGTGCTGCCTAGAGAGCATCTCAGGGGGTGCCGGCAGCTCCTGGGGCTGTAACCCTCAGCCCTGCTCAGCTAGGGCTGATGTCTTTGAAGCACAGCTCCAGGGCCTTCAGCAGCAGCTGGGAAACCTTCCCTAGGGCTCTATGGAGCTGGGTAAGGAGGGGAGCAAGCCCTAGGCCTACCTGGCATGGGCGAGGTGCTGGCGCAGGTCCCCGATGGTCTCTGTGAACAGCATCTTTACGATGTAAGTCTGCTCCCCGCTCTCTGATTTGATGCGGAGAGTGCAGACACCAGGGGCAGGAGCTTCAACCTCTTCAGTCACCTTCACCCTGGAGGTGAGAGAACCTCATCAATTGAGGAGCGAGTGCTGCGCTGGTGGCAGAGCCTGGGTCACCTCAACAGGGTGCTTCACATCTGGGAATGTCCTTGAGATGACTGCGTGCGAGCAGACCAGTCACAGAGCAAACCACTGCTTTGCTTTCCCTGCCTAAAGGTGCCTTGAGAAGAGGGTTGTTGACGTTTTTCAGCTCTTTCATTTTAGATCAGGCTGTCTGGTAAGTTCCTTGCCCTACTTCTTTGGTTAAAAATAATCTGCTTGGGTTTTTTTTTCATTCTCTATTTGGGTCTTGTCTTGCCAGAAGACTGAGTGGAAAAGTGCTGTTTGTGTGACCTCCCACTTGGGCATCGTTCTCCTGGCAGCATTCTCCCGTTTAACTTGATCACAAACAGCTTCTTAGATGCTTTCAAACTCTGAGGCCTTGGTTTGCTGTTGAGAAAGCTATTTCACAGCAGGAAGTAGCAGTCTGAACAACAGAAGCTTTTTGTTGGAGCTGTAAAAGATGGCAAGTTTGCCGTGAACAATTCAGTGGTCTTCCCAAAAGATCAACCTTCACCTTTCTTTCTATTTCTAAGGTGTAAAAGGGACAACTCCATTTACTTCCTTAACTGAAACCCCTGAAAGAAACCCACAGTGTTGAGGAGGAAGTAGGAAATAACAGGAGGAAGATGAGAGCCTGACAGGGCAGGGGCCGTGCCTGTACCTCTCCAGGGCAGGCAGCCTGGGTGTCTCCACTAGGATCTCTTTGCTGCTGCGCACCCCTTCAGAGGCCTGAAAGCAAAGCAGGTGAGTGTCACTACTGCCTGCTCTGCACAGAGAGCAGCCAGAGCCAGGAGAAGGTGCCAGGGTGCCATGTGTGCTCTAGTGGAGCCTCTCTGGGAGGAGGAGGTTATGCAGAGCTCAGAGAGGCCCAAGGGAACGGGTGCTGGCGCTGTGTAGGGTGATGAGCCCATGGAATCGCTCCTGGCACCTTCTCTAAGTGTTTGGGGGATCTGCTCGTACCTGCTGTGCTGCTCTGGCTGAGTTGTGGGCACCAGTTGCCTCTTCTGTGTGTTTCAAGGGCCTGGAAAGCTCATTGAGAAGCTGCTCCAAGGAGATTTTGGGACCTGGTGAAGCAGGGAGGAGAATTGTCCATGTGTGACCTTTTTGACAAACAGTTTGCCCTCAGAAACAGGCTGGGTTTGCGATGATAGAGCACAACAGCAGACAGGGAGAGCTCTGACCTCCCTTAGCCATGCTGGGGCTGGCTCAGTCTCCCTCATTGAAGCTTGTCCCACTTTGTGACCCATTAAATGTTCCACTGTCAACCTCAGCAGTGAGCAACTGTGCAGCCTGTGCAGCACACAGCTGGGATGCACAACAGGTTGAAACCTGGTTGGTCCTGCTGTGAACAGGGAAAACTGAAACTATGTCAGGTTTTAGACTTGGAAAACGTCCCATCTCATGAGGGTGTATTTGTAGGTGTCTGTTCCCTTTTCTGTGGTGGCAATGGACAGTTATGTTTTCTTTACAACTCGGATAAAGGAAACATTTAGCAGAGCTTCTGTCTGTGAGTGCCTTGAGATGAGCAAGCAAGTAGTACAGTTTTGTATAAACAGGAAGATGTTGCTGATGGGCACTGCACGTGTTTGGGTTGTTCAGTTACACATGCACAAACCCACTCTTTTCTGTCTGTACGACTTGACTGCATTTGGTGTAAGCCCTGCCAGGTATTGCTTACAGACTTCTGGAATCTAGAAGCAAAATGAGGAATCTGGGACCTGACCTTATGTCCCATATTCTCTTATGAAAGCCTGAAGAGGAATCATCCCATATTCAGTATAGTTGAAGATCAGTCTGGCCTGAAGATGTCCACCTTTACAGAATGAGCTTGTAGGAGAACCAAAGGTTTAAGAATTTACCTGGGATCTGGGTGGTTTCCTGCACCTCACGTGATTTTGAATGGCCAACCACTTGGCCATGACCAGGAAAGCTCCCTGGAGGGTGTTTCTCCTGAAATACCATGTCCCTTCTGTCAGTGACCTGTTAAATTAAGACCAGCTGCCATAAGCAGATCTTAACAGTTGGACAAGTTTGTTCTCACTGCATCAAAGCGCAATAAACCACAGCAATGGCAACCAAGAGTTGTAAACCCCAGGTGAAACCATGACAGCTGCTTCTGATCAAATGAAATGCATTTTCAGTTCCTATAGGCTCTGTTAACAAAGCACATCCTTGTGTATCCCCCAGGTTCCTGGGATGGGCCACCCAGACTGCAGGGCAATTGTTCATTCAGCTCCACAGGCACACCAGTTGTAAGAAATGTGCTTGGACCTGACCTTTTCCCACCTGCAAAGGCTCTGCAGGTGGAAGGTGCTGTGGAAGCAGCAGGCTGGGCTTGGAGAGGGATCTGGCAGTGAGAGGCTGCAGTGGGGACTGTCAGGTGGCTCTAATGAACCAAGGCAGGCAGAATGCACCCAGCAGTGGGGCAGGCTGTGTAAATACCAGCTCTGTCTGTCTGGGTTCCACTTCTGTTCCTCTTACATTGGCTGAACAAACCACAGGTGGGTGCACTCTGTGTGTGTGTGTTTACTGCAGATTACTGTAGTGTCCTGTGGCTTCCAGACGCACCAGCTATGCATGGATTATAGGGAGCCATAGCCCCAAGAGCTTTGCACAATCCTTACTCCAGCTGACTTTCTACCTACCGCACCTACAGCTCACCCTGCCTGTCCTGACCTCATCCTTGCCCTGCTTTCTTCGTGGCAGAGGGGAGGTGCACCCCTCTGGTTAGACGCACGTGAAGACCTAGATTAGAGTCCTCTGAGGCTCTCTGCCTGCTTCCTGCCTGAAAAGGTGGCCTTGGCTTTTTGCCATTTCTGAGAAATCAAAAAGTGGGACCTAAAAGAACCTCAGGTGGCCAAATCCATTGAAATTGTAGCAAAAGAAACTCTCCAACATCCTCCTTGATGGATCCTTGCTCAATCTTGTTTTAAAAGCTTTCCCATGGGAACTAGTTGAGAGCTTTTCTCCTTTGTTACACAGCTCTTCACATGCACATGCTGCTTCTCTGCTACAGAGCCTGCTTTGCTCTCAGAAGTCTTGTTCTGAGTCAAGATTCACTGAGGCAGAGCAACCATTGAGTCTTGATGCAGAAACCCTCACTCACTTCCTGTAACAGCTCTGGCAGGTGTGTTCCCAGCCACCCTTTCCTTGAGACGTGCACGCACAGAGTTAATCTTGATGTATGTAGTCTTACTGCCTCCAGAAACCTCAAACTGAACTTGCTGTGGGGAGCATCCAGCAGACTGCTGAGAAAACCTGAACAAGTTCTGCACTCCTTTACCTGCAATGGGATGCCATCAGGGTAACGCATCTGCAGCTCCGAAGGGAAATAGCCATCCATAATATCCTGTAGGCATTGCTGAAACAAAATGAGAGTTTGTGGGCATACCTCAGGCTTTGTTTATCTCATGGCTGATACATTCCTTCTGGGCTGTTCCTATTTGTGGTGTTATTGTTGTGCAGAAAAGTCTACATAAAAGACCCAGAATCTCATCTTAAAAACTACCCCACAAAGACATGCTAGCCTTTAAAGAGATGCAGGTTTGAAGCTGGTGATCTCTGTTAGATGCTCCTCTTTAGGACTGAGATGAGCTCACAAGTCTTATTTCTATCCGTTCCCTTTCCTGCTGCTTAGTGAACACTATAGCAGAATGGCTCTAAGTCTAATTCCCCTACAGACCCTTCCATACCTGTGTGGATGGGTCCTCATAGGGCCGAAAGGGTCCGTTGAACATGACAATCCCATTCTGATACAGTGTGAGAGGGAGGGGTTCTGGCTGCCTGAGCCGAGCTCCCCCAGGCTTGTGCTCGATGTGAGAGATGCCCTCTCCAGCCAGCAAGTTCAGATCCTTCACCTTCTCCAAGAGTAAATCAAAATCAATGTGGTGCTGGGGAACAACTGCTTCACCTGCGGCAGAGGGACCAGAGTTACAGGGGGAAGGGGACACCAGCTCAGCAGCTTTCAGCTCTGTGTGAGTTTGAGGTGTGTTTGAGCCCTGACACTGTGGGGTGTCTCTGCTCCCTCTCCATGCTTTGCCTTTCACGCTTTCGCTAAGTGTGGTGCAACACTGAGCTGCTGTGGTACAACAGTGCCAGGTTTGCATGGGTGTGTGTGCAAAACCACAGGGGCAGGGCAGCAGGGAAACAGCCCTTTGCTACCAGCTAATATAACTCCAGATGCAGGCAGCTCTTTAGAGACCATGCTCAGCTCCTTGTCTGGTTGTAATTTCCAAAGTGTTTTGCTGTCCCTTGATGTGGTGCTGTAAAATACACAGTGAAGAACAGAACTGGTTGGGTTAAGTGGGATGGATAAAGGGATCAGGGCAGACTCCCTGGGGAAATGCCAGTGTAAACAGGGGCAGGTGCTTGGTGCTTGCCACCTGCAGGTTGCTCTCTCTTGCTGGTCTGCTGCTGAGGATGTTTATCTGGGTGCTGGGGGAGGGTGGAGAAGTAAGAGTGGTGATGGGACAGAAGAATGATATCAGAGGAGAGGAAATAAGAGAGGGTGAAGCCTTTGGTGGTTTGTGTTCTGCTTTTTTACAATCTGATAAAGGAGGGCTAGGGAATAGTCCTTAAAAAGCATGAGCTGAAAACAGTGAAAATCCCTACTGCTTCCCCCCTTTTCTCCCCTCCTGCATGTGAGGGAGGGAAGGATTAGTTCGCTGATATTTGCATAGCAGTTAGGAAGTAGCATTGGCTCTACAGCCCAAGTATTCTTTTTTCTCCCCCTCTGTTACCACTTCCTAAGAAGCCATTGCCAAATATGCTTGGACCCCATCCTCCACAATCAGGTCTCTGTTAAACCGCTCATGTGTTGGCTGGGAGGAAAGGCAAACAATACTCTCTGATGGAGCCAGACAATATGGGTAGGTTACTACAGCTACAATATACACAAAGTGTCTCATTCCATTTTCCACCCACTTTATGTGTTATTGGAGCAATCAAGCTTCAAACATTCAGGGTATGTGACCTCTGCAGGAAGCAGCTGCTTTGAGGGTCCCCTTCCAAAGGGCTGAGCCATTGGGTTCTCTCCTCATCCCCTAAATGAGGCTTACAAAATACAGATGTATAAAACACCAGTGTTCTGCCTGGCTTAGCTCCTGTTCAATGGCTCTGTGTCTCTGTCCCTGAGATGGGCTGAGGTGAAGACCTCAGCACAGGATCACAGATTCTGAAGATGCAAATTCTGGGTCTTTGCTGCTTATCTACTCTGGGGAGTATCACACCTTCTATAAGCATGCAGTGGGAGTTAGGATAACTGCTTCAGCGAGGAGTGCTGGTGCTTTACCTGGCTTCCAGAAGCTCCTTCCTGGCAGCTCTTCATCCTTGAGCAATTCTACATCTTCCAGTTCTTCAGGTCTCTCTCCAACCCAAATCAGACCATAGTCACTCAGAAACTGCTGTGAGGAAAGCACAAGGCAGTGTTGTAGACCAGAGCTTCAGAGAACTAGAAATGGGAGCCTGAGGGTGGTCAGCTGAGATCATGAGAAGCAGAAGGGGAGGTGAAAGAAGTTTGTCTTGGGGTTCTTTGGCCCTGGCAGGGGCCAGTAGTTGTAGCAGCTCTACTAGTAGTAGGCAAAAGGGAGAATGAAAGCATCTGTAGTGCCACAGTAGTCTCCCAGGGCTGTGGTAGCTGCAATGAGTATTTCTACAGCCCTAGAAATCAAAATGAAGAGGCTTGCAGGAGGCACAGATGTTTGGGTATCATTTCCTGCTGCCCTGTATCTCCCATCCAACTTGTTCTTTGTTTTCAGAGGGCTGAGGTGGTGAATTGTGGTGATCAGAGTGGCAGCTTGAAAAAGCCTGAGCAGCCTGGGACTGCAGTGATCTCAAACCAGAGGTGCAGATGGCCTAGGGCAAGTGAAGCAGGTGTCTCACCTCCATCTGCCAGACCTGGAGCTGCAGCTGAAGGCACCTAATTTCCAGTTCCTCTGTTGTGAATGAGTCAGAAGGGTCTGAAAAGGAAGTCTTGGTTTTAATATGTACAACCTTAAAGAAGAGCTATAGATAACCTGTGTCACACAGCATGGATGCCCCAGCAGTACCTGACTACCCGTTACTAAAGTCCATCAGACACAGGAGCTGAACATGAACTCTGCATGCTGGTCCCTGACAATTCAACCTGCAGCAGTTTGAAGATGCTGCCAGACTAAAGTAGTTGTGGATGGTAGTGGTGAAGCTTTCTGCTGCAGGAGGTTGACATGAGTGGTGCTGTTGGCAAGTAAACAATGAGAATTGCTCTGCTTGCTTGGTCTTAAGGGACCTATTAAGAAAATTAGCAGGTGTCCACTGAAGCTGGGTTGGGAAACCTGGGCTGAATGGCTAGGACAATGCACAATGAGGTATAAAACACATACTTGTGGTTTGACAGGCATATTTGTGTTCTCTGCTCAGGAAATTGAGAGCTTACTCCAGCTTTATGCTTACAAGGTAGGTCAGCCATTGTAGGAAACGTGTCTGGGCTCAGCTGGAGAAGCTGCTGGATTCCAAGGAACTGAATGGGGGAAAAGACCTTCAGTGACTCACTCACAGCTGGCCTCAATCTGAAGTTAGGCTGCCTCCCAGGACAAGGGAGCCTGGGCTGGAATCCTCCCTGAGATCCCAAGCAGAGTTTTGTGTTTGCTCAGCTGTGAGTAGCTCTGGTTTCCAGCCTGTTTGAACTCTGCAGTATTTACTGGTTTGTTTTGGGTGTTTTCCTGTGTGGTTGATTTATGCTCATGGAAACTTAGCAAGCCACAGAAAATAGGTCAGGAAATAGTGTTTTGCACTGCACCGGAAGAGCTGAGCAGTGGATCCTAGAATGGTTTGGGTTGGAAGGGACCTTAAAGCTCATCCAGTTCCAACCCTCTGCCATGGGCAGAAACAGCTTCCACTAGAGCAGGTTGCTCCAAGCCCCGTCCAACCTGGACTTGATGTGGGTATAAAGTGTGGATCTGCTTTGGCAGAAGGCACCACGTCTGTGTAACTGATACCACTCACTGAAGAAGCTCTTGGGCTATTAAGGTAAGGATGGCTCAGAGAGGAGGTCTCCACTGCTCTGCTGCAGTGCCAGGAGCTCTGTACTCTCCCACAGGTAGGAGCAAGGCACCAAGGGTAGAATAATCTTTACCTTCTTCTTTCTGAAGGGTCTTCATCTTCTCTTCAAGCTCAGCAATCCTCCTATCCTTCAGGACCAGAGCAGATAATGATCTTATTTAGTTCCTTGGCCTTCAGGACCTCGAGGCACAGTTTGTACAATTAGTCCTGGCTAGGTGAGTCAGTGGTGCACATCCTCTCACCCCATTCAGAGAGAGGCAGAGTAAGGGTCAGAAAGGCTGTACCACCTCACAAATTAGACTCAAATGGGGTGTGGGATATAAATACACTGCTCCACGAATAGGTGAGGGAACACTGACCTATCTCCCCCTCCTTCATCTGCACAAGAGCTGTAGGGAAACACCCAGGCTCCTGCTCCCAGCTTCCTGCTCAGGCTCCTGCTCTGACCTATAGGAAGTAGCTAATCTAGAAACGAAACCAGCACCTCTGCAGCCACCTCTTTAAAACCAAACACAAAAGGGTATTTACTGGAAGCTGCAGTCATGCAGAGGGCTCTGCCCCAGGCTGGCTCTGCTGTATGAGCAGCTGTTGTCTTGGAAAGCAAAAGGAAAATGCAGGGCTGAAGTCAAAGAGCTGATCCCAGTGACAGGGTGCTCATGTCATCACTTGGGACTGTTCATTCTCCCAACCCAAGGACCAACGCAATTGCTCTGGGGCTTTGAAAAGGCTTGTTTGTGTAACAGAGCAGGCTGCCGATGAACTTGGTTCAGGCAAACTAGGTCTGAGAGGTGTACTGCTCCTGTGGCATTGCCATCAAAGCAGGGCACAAAACAGGCTCAGTAAGGGCAGGAATTTTACCTTCAGTTGGATTTCTTGTGCCTGCTCTGCTATTTTTTGTTCCAACAGAGTGATTTTTTGCATCGGGGAGGAGTGGAGCTCCGTGTCAGCGTGAGCTGTGTCTGAAAGCACAAATCTGTTATTTAATCCTCTGCACCACAGGGGACCCCATGCAAGAACTCCTGTTCTGCCAGAGCAGGGAGGACAAGGGTCCCTTTGGGGGGTACTGGGTAGGAATTCCTTAGGGAGATGGCTGTATCACTGACAGTGTATGTGACGGCGGGGGAATTAGCCCTGGCCTGGGGTATTGAGCCCCCCAGACTGTCACTGAGAGACTGTGATGGCCCAGAAACCCCTGATCATTGAGGGACTTTTACCCTGTGTGTTCTTTTCCAGTGTTGTCTCCTTCGAGCACGAGGGGAGGATGCCTTGCTCTGGATTCTCTGTCCTAGGAGGCAGGCTGGCATCCTCTGAAGAGAGGCACAAGGAGCACAAAGGAAAGAAAACAGGGCAGTGTTTCAGCTGCAACTTCTTCACAAGCAGGTAAAGGAATACTGGGGTTATGCTGAGGGGAGGAGAGGGCAGGAGAAAGCAGGGTGGCCCATTCAATCCAATAGGCGCTCCCAACCTAGTGAGTGTAAGTGGGAGCTTGTTATGAGCCAGGACCCAAGGGAAGGTGCAATCTCGGCAGGTGGAAAGGGTGAACACGAAATGGGGCTTGTAGAAAGAGACTGTCACTGGTGTAGAGCATCCTGCCTGCACCAAGTGGTAATATTGAGCTCTTCTAACCAAGAGCCCAACACCCTGGGATTAACAGAAGCTTCACTGGCAGTGGAAAGGGAGATTTTGCTCTAAGATGTAGTAGGAAGGATGTGACCTAAACTAGAGCTGTAAAAATAGATGAGGCTTTAATGTGCTCTAGGTCTTGCTGAGGATGTGGAAACCTTTTGTTTCTTATCTGATTTTGGACGTGTGTAGGAGAAAAAGAGCTACAGCCATTGAAGAACATGTAGGATGGCAAGAAAAGCCTCCCCAGTGGAAGCAATGAACTTGGCCAGCCCTGTATGAGGGGATAACATGTAAAATAAAGCCCAGCTTCAGGAACTTCGGGAGGATTTGCTCAATGGGGTAACTTTTTGGAGTTCAAAAGGCGCTGTTGCCGCTGGAGAGAGCAGCTTTGCTCTGCCTCAACCAGAGACCTGACCGCCCCATACCCCTGGCACCCGCTGGGGATCGATGCCGGCCCGGAGGCAGCAGGTAAGGAACTGCTGGGAGGGGAGTTCTGTTCATGCCGGTGCCATTTCTGATCCTGTCACCGCCATGTGCAGCCCTGTGGGGCCCAGAAGGCCGGTAGGAAGGATCGCTAGCAAAAATGGACTCAAAATGACGTGGGTGCCCAGGTGCTGGGGGGGTCCCCAAACCTCGGGGGTGCCCCCCCGCTTCTCCCGCGCCTCCGCAGCACTCACCCGCCGCCGCCATCTTGTTTACAGGCGGTTGCCACGGCGACGGAGGGCCGCTGCGATTGGCTCAGCCTTGGTCACGTGGAGGGCGAGGCAGCACGGGGACTACACATCCCAGCATGCACCGCTCTGCTCCCCCCCCCCCCCTCCCGGCTGACAGCTCGGGGCTCCTCCGCCCCCCCCGTGCCCGGGCCTGGAGCAGGGGCAGGCCCCGGGGGATGCCCCCTCTGAGGGGGGGACCCGGAGCGCTCCGAACGCTCCCAGGGCCGGGGCCGGACCTCGCTCCCCTCCCTCAGCCCCCCCTGCACGCCCTTGGCCTCAGCCCGCAGGGACAAGCGCGGCAGGGCCTGGCCCGAGGCACCGCTCGCTGTGCACGCTCGGGTTCCAGCACCCGCTGCTCCGGGCGCTGCTCGCTTCCCCGCCCGCTGGTTTCGCCTCGCTGGTGCTGCCCACCAGGTCCGTGCTGCTCCAGAGAGCTCAGCCTCCCCCGGGGGAGGGAGCAGGCCCGTTTGTAGCACCTGGGTGGCTGCTCCTGAGGCTCCCTTTGGTGTGTGCATGATGTGCAAAGGCAACGGAATCGGGTGAAGCTCTGCAGCAGTGGAGCCTTCCCCTCTGCACTGTGATGTGCTTCAGCAACGCAGAACCCGGCAGCAGCCAGATGAGCCTGGCACATTTCACTACCTAATGTCAAACCATCTTAAAATAACCAGATCCCGTCTGTTTCCTGCTGCTGTGAGTGAGGGAGCTCCGAGACCTGCTCATGAGGAGATGGATATTGGGGGGCTGCAATGGAGCGTTTCCCTCGTTGTTATCCGGATGAGACCACCCCAGGTGTGTTATGGAGATTCAGAGCTCGGACCCAGCTCCTGCCCCAGCTGCATGGAAAGAGCTTTGTTCTTTTGGTTGAATCATTGGCCACAATTGGCAGGACCTTCCCAGTGATCCAGAAAGGGTTTAACCCATATCCACTGTTAGTCCTTCGAGGCTGCAGGGCACAGGACAGGGAGAAGCAGAGCTCGGACAGGGGGGCTCATGCTGCAGGTGGTATTTTGTTACGTGGCAAAAGGCAGGGCCAGAGGCTCGCTGCTTGTGCTGGAGTCAGTGGCTGTGTGGCTGTGGTGTGGAGCAGGAGCTGCTCTTGTGCTGGGCGATGGAGATCGATGGCTGGGGAGAACTGCGGCTGAAAGGGTTGTACTGGTGTCACTGCCTGGAAACCCCCCCTGCTGTCTTGCACCCTCTTCCTCACAGCGCCGGCGGCAGATGTGACTTCCCCAATTCACCCTGGTTTCAAACAGCCCTTTGAAGTGGTGGGGCTGGTGCAGGGAAGGAGGTGTGACTGATGAGATGGGGCCACCACCGTGCTTAAAGCCTCCGGCTGCCATCACTGCGAGCAGAGGAGGAAGTGTCAGTGCACAGTGAGCTGCGTGCCCCGACAATGCAGCCCCTCCAGCGCGCTCTCCTGCTCCTCCTGCTCACCCTGCTTTTCCTCTGCATGGTAAGAGAAACCCCATGGTGTGGGGCACACAGAAGCTGCAGGGTCCAGCTGGCTCTGTCCCAGGGCTGTTATGGCAGTTGGGGGCTGTAGGGTTCAACCAGGGGGAGAATTTCTGCCTTCAGCTGGAATCCTGAATATTTGGGGTTGGAACTGGAGAAGTTTTAAGGTCCCTTCCAACCCAAACCATTCCATGATTCTATTTGACTTTGTCTTGCTCTTACCAGCAGCTTTGCACTGTGGTCTGTAAGGTCTAAATATTTCCGTAGATTGCTTTTTTAAATGCCTTTTTTACTCAAGAGCATCACATATCTGTAACCTTCTCACTTCGCTCTCCACTCACCCTGCAGCCTCTCTACATGCTGGCCCCAGCCTGTGCCTGGTGTGGGGATGCTGAGGATAGCTGTGGAGATGCCGGGTGGGCACACAGCTGTGTGGTTTCCTCTCACATCTCCACACTGGGGTGTAGTTTCCTTCCCTCCATGGGGCTCAGTTCAAGTGCCAAGCTGGTGGATGTCAGCTCTCTGCTCAGTGGAGACTGTGTTGTGGGAGGGAGGGAGGTGCTGGTGCTTTCAGGGAGGATGATGGCTACTCAGAGCAGCAGGTGGGAGATGTGCTTGTTCCACAGTGTGTCGGTAACAGGGCCAGATGTATCTGTGCTTATTTTTCACTCTCAAACCCCACGCAGCTGTGACCTGCTGCTTTACATTTACCTAATGTGCATTTGCCTTTTGAGAGTCCGGATCTGCGGCTGGGCAAACCAGCCTGGCACCCACCCTGCACAAGGGTGCCTGTGAAGGGGCAGAGCTGGGCCTTGGGGTCCCATCCCTGGCCCGATCCCAGCTCCGCAGTGACCCAAGGAGGGAAGCAGCCTGGTGGCTGTTTCACGGACGGAATGGCTGTCCCTTTTCCTGCCTGTCACTGCAGTTACCTTTAACCGCTTACACCAGGAGTCCCTAGGAAGGAGTGGTTCTGGGCAGCTGGGGCAGGAGGGATTCACGCAAACATCTTAGTTTGGAAGATGCTGATATGAACAGAAGGAAACTGCTCTGAAATCGCCATCCCGACTGTTATATTTCACACGCTGTCTGCAACATCCCCACTTGCAACACCCCAGGGGACCGAGGGTCCTTCCTCCTCCCTTTGGCTTCCAGCACGGGTGTTTCCTAGCTCTACATCCTCTGCGCAGGGCCCATGGACCGCTTCCTCGCAGCAGTTGTCTCAGAGGCAAAGACCACCTCAGCTTCTGCTTCCCTCCCCTGGCTAGAGGCAGGGCACTGATGTGAGGGGCAGCTCCCTGCGGTGGGAAAACCCGAACGCGAACAGGGATGTGTGCGTGTGGCACGGAGGAGAAGCACCCAGGGCAGCCGGGCTGGGGGCTTTAGGGGGGTTCAACCCCTTGGAGCGGTGCCTGACTCTCGTTTCCTGTTGCAGGCGCTGGGCCAGGCGGACAAGGGGCTCAGCATCACCCCGCACCCCACTCTGACCCCCGCCGCGAAGAGCCTGAGCCCTCCCTGCAGCACCGCGGCTCTGCTCCCCCTCACCTTGGCGCTGGCCGCTGCCTTCCTCCTGCGGCTGCACTGAGCGGGCAGCGCCCGGCCTCTCGCACATGAAGCCGTGACCCCGGTCCGTGCCGCGCTGCCCCGGCTGGGAGCGAGGCCCCGGGGGCGGCTCGGCACCGGAGCTCCGGGCAATAAAGCGCTTGTGTAGCGGCACCGGGCTCGCTGCGCCGCGGGGATGGGGCTGCTCGGCACCGCGGCTGGAGCGGGGGGGACCAAACGGGCCCGGTGCGGACACAGCGTCCCCTGCAGGCCGGGCGGCCCCTTGCAGCACCGCTCTCAACCCCACCGCGAGTCCTGGCCAATCCCGCGCAGGGGCTTGTGCTCCCCACCAATCAGGCGCTGCCATGAGCCCCGTATTGGCCAATCGCGGGCTGGCGGTGGGTATATAAGAGCGGGTGATGGGGTTAAGCTAGTCCCTGCTAGGCTGGGTCCCTCTGGTTGTGGGGTTTGGTGTCTTGGGGTCTCTGTGAGGATTTCCCCCCTCGCTAGTCTCCCTGCCCACAGAGCCTGTGTGTATCCATGTCCATCCGCGGCTCCAGAGGCCCAGCTCAGGCCATACAGGGTGGCAGCATCTTCCCTGCCCCATTCTCTGGAGGCTTCCTCCTTCCTGCCACCATTTCTTCATGGGGTGGGGTTGTGGTGCCTGGCACCACTGCCTGCGGGCAGGGGTTTGGGCTCAGGCCCACAGTAACCGCCTGCCCGCTGGCCTGGCAGAGGAGCGTATCGGAGCCCCGCATCCCCGAGCAGCACACGCCGCTCGCCTGTCCTGCTGCCCAGACAGGTTTGTGCACAGCGTAAGGGTGGACATTTGCCATTGCTGAAAGCCAGAGCGGTCGCTGGCCGGCTGCAGACGCCTGATGCAAGGACCTTGGTGCTGTGAGTCTGCTGCAGGAGCCTCCCGGGGTGGCTGTCGCTGCCAGAACTGCTCTGTTCTGCTGCGGGGTTGACCTG